AGCTTACATTAACAGCCACAAAGTACACACGATTCATGAATTTTTTCCTGCTGTACCACCTGGATATAAAATTATCGAAGTTCCTTCGCAAATAATTTATTTACCGATTATTGGACGTATCATTGATCATATACAACTACGCATTGTAGATCAGGATGGTGATTTAGTCAATTTTCGTGGAGAAATCATAACTATAGGATTGCACATAAAACCTTCTCCATAATGGGTATTGTTTATAATAATCAAACAAATCATATAGGTGACTCAGTATGCACTCCAGCACTCAGTCAACAACGAGCTGTCAAAGCATTGAGATGTCTGAGAAAAAAGTCCATCAAAGCATCAAGACATCCAAGAAAACGATTGACACGTCAAAAAAAACTAACTCATCAAAACATTCAGTTTATAAAAAGTCTCGGTCTAAAAATAAAAAGCCCTCGTGGCAACTAAATTGGATATTTTTTTGTTATATACAAAATGGACAAGATTCTAAGTATTCAGTCTCTAGTCGCATTTGACAAATCTATTGCGCATCATGAGATTCATGCTCATCAGCCGTATGCATCATCAACATACGGCAACAGCGATGAAATTTGCATTTCAATTTAACATCAAGACTTATGCCTTTAACCTTCTAGAAGTTCTCATCATGTTTACGGAGGGTTGGTCAAAGCAAATAAAATCACATCATTAACAAAGACCGCATTGATAAACAATGCCATCTGTCACTCATTTAAAGAAATGCGATATGAGATAAATGCTATAGTGGTACACAAGTGCAGAAATGTTGGGCTAACGACCCCAATGAAAAATTGGCTATCGCTTGGTTCTAATAAAAAAAAATCTGTGATAAATGATGGTTGGCTTGGCATTTGAGAAGAAGATAATAGTCTTACTAATAATAACGGCTTTTTTGATATAATACTTCCACTGAATATGATTTAAATTTTTACTGAAAACTATCGTAAGATAGTTGTTGATGTAAAACATGATTTTATACTTACAGGATCAAGAAGTTATATGAATGCTGTGTTGCAAACGCTACTTAATGCCAATGCTGCTAGTCCTGTGGCCGCAGCAAATTGGAAAGACTTCAAAATAGTTATATTGAAGCTTAAATAGCTTTTACCCTATATGGTAAAATGTCAAATTCTCATAAAATTCGTTTATTAAAATATCTGCAAAAAGATAAGTTTGTATCTATGAGTTTCCAAACTTGGGAATTATATGATTATCCCCTCTTACCTAGCACATCAAAACATATTTGGACAGTCTAGACATCTAATCAGTTGAAAAACCTGCGTCATGTTATTTTAGCCTTTCAAAGAAACCGAAAAAATCAGATAGATATAAGCTCTAGTATTTTCGATCAATGCAATACAAGAAATGTGAAACTCTCTTTAAATTCACAATATTATCCTTACGGCCATCAAGAGAGTGGAAAAAATTTATAAGAAGAAACGAGAAACAAGATGTGGAGGTCGAAAAAATAAAATCTGTGAAAAAATCAAAAGATAAAGACTGTAAAATTGTTTTAAAAAAACAATTCGTTTAATAAGACATTAATCAGTATGTCGTATAAATCGAGTACAAGCAATTTTACAACTAATGTTAAGTACTAAGAACTTAGAATTAAGAACGGAGGTAATAGGAACAAAATAGTTTGGCTAAAAAACTTTATTCATAAGTATTTAACCAACAAAGGGTCTTTTCTTAAAAATAAAGTTTATCAAAAGATAAAAAAATAAAATTAATTATCACAATAGTGAAGAAAATGGAGTATTTCGTGAACATGCAAGGTTTCAAAAAACCAGGCAATGATTATGTGCTTAAAGAATTTGCTATCCTTCCACTCAGTGCTAACGATGGAGAAGCGCAAGTATTTCTTTTTAAAGCAACCTTTTCGTGGCAAACATTACCATAAGAGTATAAACATAAAAATTTATATCTTGAACTTTACTATCATAGACCTTTCTGGGATTCGGAAAAAATTGATTACACGGGAATACGAAATATTCTACGGAAGCATCTTGAAAACACTACTAAGAAATTTGTTATTGGATATCTGCAACAAAAGTGGCTTGAAAGATTTGACTTTCACTTCACTGAAATGACAGACTATCTACCATTTCAACCCCCGAGATTCGTTACTACTTGTGCTCATTACAGTGGAGCCTACAAATTCATGTGTGCTCTTTATTCTGTCAAGTGAATGAAAAAGTTTTATTTAAATATGGAGTGGATCAATATTGATGACGATGACACAAATAATAAAGATCTGTGAAAATGTATTTTACTTCAAGAATAAGATGTTTTGTACTTCTAAGGATTTCGTGAGTTTACGGTTGTAAATGTTAATTTTTTAAATTAAATATAAACTGATTAACCAACATAAGCAGTAAAAATTTAACACTTATTTTCTTATCACTTTACATCTCACACGCAAATTAAAAAAATTAATTCTTTTGAATTATTGTTAGGACCAATGAAGTTTTAAAATAACAAAATGTTTTTTGAACAAAAATTTATCTGTAGTATTTTTATTTCACTCAAGAAAATTTTTTTCGAATGTTGATAAGAAATGCATATACCCATCTTGTGCACGAGCCGCACAATATATTCAAGCAACGCTACAGCCGACAAATACGCATAGCAACCCATACAAACTTAAGCCGTGCGCAGGTAGCTGTTAGATCCGCTCTCCCAGTGGCTACAAGAGGAGCTACGTGCAAAAACCTACCGGATATACTCGCGCATTTGCTTTAAGAGGAGTCCAACTCATCCACAAAGAGGGGCCGCAGCGGGGATGGACATGTCGTGAGTTTAGGTGCTGCGGGGAAGGGGGTCTGTGCTGGAATCGCCATAGCTTATCTGCTTGTGATGTTTTCAGAATAAAAAGTTTTTAACTTTCCAGTTGAAATTTTTAAGGTACAGGATTTTTGTAATAACGACTTTGTATTTTTCTTTTTTACTTAAGTATTAAAATAATCTTATAATACTTACAAAAAATGTTATTATAGTGTTCTATCAGCTGACATTATTTTCAAGCCGAATAAATACATGCTTCATAAGTTGTAAGTACAAAAGTGGTTTTTATTTGGCTTCTTTAGCGTTAATTAATTTTTGTTAACCATAAAATTTAAATTAAATACCGTACAATATTTTTGTCTCAAAGTACATTTGAAAACGAAAATTTGTACGTATAATTAAAACTATTTTAAAGCTGTTGGAAAAAAAATGTAATTTAAAAAGTTTTCCAGTTTCGGAAACGAATTTTTTTGAGAGCCTGGACGACGATTGCCCCTTTCTGTATGTGGCCTTATACGTTTCTCGGAGAAGGGTCAGACCAATTTTTTGAAATGGAAACGAAGAACTGCATTTTCAACGCCATTTCAATGGGATCAAGACCACCTCATACAAGGCGCTAAAATGAATATTGGAGAGAATCACTTGGGGGTTGGATTGAGGGACTAAAAAGCTACCTAACTGTGCCAAAAACTTTGCATGAATTTGAAACAGATTAATACAATTTTAGACCCCCGTTCCACCTTTGAGTTTTACGGGATGTACACTTTTCAAAATAGTTGATTAACATGTCTTCATAAGTGATTATTTTACTTTTTGCTCTGGCAAAAATTTAAGGCATTTCTGTGTCGCAGTCATGCGTAAAGATGACTACGCCCATAGCGTTATTGTAGAAATTCGCGTTGACGAGAAAAATTAGCCCCTGATCAATCATTTTTGTCAAGAGCAATTTACTTAATTACATTTAACATTCATAGCGTTTCTAATAAACATTTATAACTTTTTGTAAATAAAAGCATATATCTTTATAAAAATTAAATAGTATATTAAGGGCCACAAAAGACGTATTCTTACAAATTTTAAGGGTTGTAGAATTTTTTTTCAAACTCAGTAGAAATAAAAATTTAGAAATTTTTGACACTAATTTGTTGATTTTTTTATGAATTATAAACCAAATTTTGGCTCTGCGAAAAAAAAATGTTATTTGGACTCTGCTGAAAAAAATGGTTATGGCTCTGGGTAAAAAACTGGTATCTCAAATAAGCAATAAATAGTTGAAAATTCACCTTTGCGTACTAAGAGGCGCTAAGGACCGCTTTTTCCCTGTGGAAATGAGATATATTTTCTTTATTGAGCCAAGTTAACACATTTCTCAGTTTGAAACCAAGATTATACTTTGGGCCCAAAATTAAAATAACACTCCATTTCTTTTAAGGAAAAGCATGTAGCATCTATCTAACTGCAGAGCGTTGTAGAAATTATTTTTATTTTACAGTAGATGGATCGATTAAAGAGTTTGTCTCACCATATTTTGCGTAGTGTTACTTACAGCCGGAAAGCGCAGTGCAAATGCATTAAGTACTTATTATTTTCTAATGGTTGGAATACTTCTAGAAGCAATGTAAATTATTTTAAAAGTTTCTTCCAAACACAGATTGTAAGTCTTTCATATTATACCTTATAATCTTTTCAATTCAATACCTGCCAAAAACATGAGAATATTTTTTAAATAAGTTTACGTTGAAAAAAAGTGATTGTTACCAAAACAATTGCTTTTGTAAATTAAATGATTTGTAAAAAATGATAGTAACCTATAACGACTTGAACTACAAATTTTGTCTTTAAAAGCTTTAAAAGTAAATAGAAGATTTAGGTTATTAAGATTTTGAAAGTGCAGTGGAGACGAAGGTTATAACTTACAATGCTCGACCACTGAATCTGCCTCGTTTTTGGCAATATCTTGACAATTGATTCATTCTTTACTTTACTAAACTGTAAAATTTTATGATCAGTATGCTTACTCAACATTGTTAAGTTCCTAATTTTTTTGGTCTTGAATAATGCGTATTTCGTATAACACAAAAAATTTAAATAAATAAGAAATGTCTTTGAGTTTTCTACCATTATTTTTTCAAAATTTGCACCCAACATATTGAAGAAGACTTATATTGTAATGATCGAAATTTTATGTTTAGGCGCTTTCAAGCAGCATGGGTATTGTTTTACAAACACAGGTTAGTGTAATATTTGTATCTTTCGTTTGGTTTTTACTTCTAATAAAAACGCTTTCTTATTTCATGCACTTAAGCTTCTAAAAATTGTTATATAATAAATTCAGTACATGACCAATATATCAATAGCTTTCTATTCATCGTCCAGACAAAAAATTTTACAAAAGGATGTAATTTCTATGCTTATCATGACGTTTACCACCGACTTATTTCAGTTAAAGTGATTACCAACACGTATGTAAGTTTATACATGGTTACACGTAACTATGTGTTTCTATACATCTGTATAAATGTATTTATGTACGCCTGTATTTATTTTTTTATACATTTGTACGTTCCAAAACTTTTAAACTAATATAAGCAATGATGTATACAGTAAAAAATAAGTAAATACGAAACTTTTTCTTTTGACTTATTAGAGTTTCGACCTTTCTCATATTGATAAAACAGATAACAACACAAGAATATGTTGTAATAACTGTATTATCATTGTTTTACAAGCAAATAATTAAATGGTACCCTGGTAATTTATCAAAAATTTGGAGTATACAAATATTTGTATTCCACTCACTGCACTTATGCACTCATTCTGAAAAAATACAGTTTAAAAAAAAAAAAAAAAAAAAAAAAGAAGAAAANTGAAAACACTTTTTCCACGTAACATTTTCATTATTACTTGATACATAATATAATCTTATGGTTTTTTAACTTAAAGTGATTCAAAACAGAATTTTAGTTATTTATTTGTCCAACTGTTGTGAGTGCTGTTGGAGCCCAACCATTTGACAAAAACTTGGTTGCCACGTCTTCAAAGGACCTTTTCTATGAGGTATACATCAGGATGCTTCGTTTTCTGCAGTTCTTGTTCGTAGAAACCTCCAAGAATAAGTTAATCTTGATAATTTGATAATCTTTGAGGTAAAACGTTATTGGATTTGATGCTGCTACTCGTGTGATAGTAAATATTTCTGTCGACCGACTTGGCGTATACGCTTATTTGAATGCTTGTTTGATTTTGCTCACTCGTACTTTATCGCAAATTTTGAATTTAGGCTTAGGCTTACTGCTACTTTCATTTTTTCTTTTCAATTTCTTCACTTTATTTTCAACTACAGCAACTTTTGGTTTCAAACCAATTGTTCAGTGTTTTCTATTGTTACAAAATTAAATTAACGTTTGTAACGAATTCAGCCATTCATAATTGCCTTGCAAACTAAATTTTTTCCACATCAAAATCTTTAAAGTACGACTAAAACGCTCGCATATAGACGCTTTGAGATTGCGGTGCGTTGAGTATACATTTATTTTATATTTCTAAATGAGATTTTGGAAGCTTGTATAATAGAATTCTTTGCTATGATCAGTTTGCATGTTCACGGGCACCCGTCCTTTTTTCAATATTGAATGCATTGCTGCAGTTACTTCATCACCAGTTTTTTTCTTAATAGGTACAGCCCATGCGTACTTGGAGAAAACATTTATAACAGTAAGCATATACTGATAACCTTTATAACCGATAAATTTGTTTTCACGAGCGTAAGGCTGCATCTCTACAAGGTCTGATTGCCAAGTCTCGTCTAAGCCACGTATGTTGAATTTTTGGCGAGGATAGTTACGCCTGGCTGCCTTATGAAGTTTCTCAACGATTTTCTCCATGTATTAATTGTCGAGGTTTAAGTTTTTTGAATCAGCTTCAATAAATGGGAATTTTTTTTGCAAGTTGTACATAAAAATTCGGAAGCTATCTGTTTCTTTTTCAAGTCTTTTAACTATTTCAATCAAGTAAGCATAATTTACTGCATCTTGAGGATGTTTTGGTGTTCCAACATTGCACAGTCTTTTATTATTTGAGTCATACTGTCCATCTACGGTAAGTTTTTATCCAATACCTGGAAGACCTTGGCTGCCGCCTCTGGTCCTACCCAATTTTCGACCGAATACATCGACACTCATTTTGATACTGAAGCAATAATTACATACATCAATATATATATCCTCCCTCACGAAGCTCTTCGATAAGTGATATAATTTCATTGTAATGACTTGTATTTCCTGTCGACTTTTCAGCTATTAATAAGCGTAAACGGTCTACTAATTCATTAGGATCATCCCAGTGTATAAAATCTACTTTTTCCATTATTTGAGCAGTTTTATAATGAGGTAGCAACGATCCGCCTTTTTTACGAACCATAAGATCAAACATTGTATTAATAATTTTATTAAACTTATTGCTATTATGGGTTCGTATAGCTCCGTTTTTTTTAAACCCTTTTCTGTGAACATTTAAAATTTTTAATAATACGTAGTATTTTTCAAAATCCTCCAGCGTCAACACAGATTCATTAGGATGCTTTTTGATGAGTAGCTCCGTTAATCCCGGAGTCATTGGATACTTTAAATCATCTATTTTGATATGATTATTTTAAAATTCTATTCGCGAATCGCCAAGTTTGTACAACTCATTCACTTTCCGCACTCCATACTTTAAATCTAATAAATCTTTCTAATTTTCATCAAGTATTTGTAAATAAAAATTATTTAATGAATTCTTACTAATTTGCACTGAATCAACTGATTGATTCTGAATAGTATTATTTAAATCAGTATCATCATCACTTTCACTAATGGCAGACTCGAATGTTATATCACTTTCACTAAACTTTTCTCTGTCTTTTGGATGCTTTTCTTTATTAACTTTATTATTTTCTTCATCGTTTTTATTATAAAAATAATTATGAGTAACAGAATTATTACTATTATTTTTTCGTTTTTTTGTTTCGGCAACAATTTCCATTAGAGGGTCTGTAATTGGTTTAAAAGTTTCACTAAGCACTTTTTCAGCCTCATTTTTCCCAAACTTCAATAGTCTGTACTTTTTTCTAACAGCCTCACGTGCC